GCCATTCAAACAATGAACACATAAGTCATTTCTGAGAAAATCAATAGACAACAACCAAAACAAGATCATGACAACAATTTAAGCACCCTGAATCAAGCCAAGGGGTATGTGGACTAAGAAGAGGAGCATATAAACCAATATAATGTTTCTTAGCCTTACCTAATTGACAAATATTATATTTTGGGAAACAATACAAGCAACATCCCTTTTCAAGGCATGGTAATGAAACCTATCTCCCTATGGGACTATTATCTCTAGTGGCTAGTAAAATCTCTAGAGCAACACCTCTGACATGAAATTCACATCCTAAAAAATATCCTCTAAGTACAACAAATACACAAATTAATTCTTCTTGAAAAGACAAAAGAACACTGTCCTCAACAAGAAAATTTTCATTATCTCCATATGGGCTATTGAAGAGGTGTTTAACTATGATACCAAAATATGGACAGTTAGGATGTTCATCCTTGAGTCGCTCATAAGTCATATCACTCTATGTTTAAGAAAGCTGAGAAATGATAAGAGGATTCAGAATCTTCATAACCCAAAATTCAATTAATGTGAACATATGTTAGTAATTTAACTTCAATGATTTCTTAGATACCTGTATGATTGTGAAATTAATTCACATCATGTTTTTGGTTTTTAAAATCTGCACTACTATTGATGAACAAACATGGCAATCTCCACACACAAAACTTTGGATGCTCCACTGTATAATAGAAAATGGACTTTTGGAGGTTGGGGTGGGTGGTGGTGGTAGGGTGATAGATTTGGGAAAAAAAACAAATTAAAAATACAAAAAACAAGTAGCTTGTTAAATGATATACTTAAATATGTATCCAACCTTAGGCTGAAACACATCCGTGTATGCAATTGTCACGCCCTCTCCTTCTTTAATAGCTTTAATACTCCTAACTATTATTCTTGGGCCATATGCCTTTTTTCCTACATTACCCACAAAATAGTATTCACATATAATTATTGATCTGCAGAACTATGAGCAATGATTATGAAATCATAGTTGACTTTCAATATAATCAAAATTACCTTCTATTAATATCTCATTTCCATTTTCCATCGTAGACAGAGAAATCCTTGACTCCAAGTCATCTGTATGCTCTGACCCCGTCAAAAACCGGTACCAAGCATTGGGAGAACAACTATGATTAAACCAAGAAAACACGGTTCCATAAACAGCAACTCCTACATTGCACCCACTCTTGTCTAGCACCTCCACAGCGTTTGTTAACACCAAACACAAAACCATCTCCTCCACCACATACTCCTCTGGTGCCACTACATTTACATTAATGTCACCGCCTTGCATCCTCCTAGCCATTGCCATCAGCTTTGCTCCATTCCTTATCCACTTCAAAAAGGGGTCCTTCTCACTGGAATTCTTCACGTTTTCATCTAGGTCCTCCCTATTTCCAGTTTCTTGTAAATGGTCATTCTTATCTTCTTGAAATATCAACCTTTCACGGTTGGTCATCAGACCGGCAATTCTCTCCCAAACTCCATTATCTTGATTCCAATTTTCCATATCCACGTTAGGCTGTTCTTTTATCTCAAGATACTCATCTGGACCTTCTTTATTATCAGTTTCTTGAAACAGGCAATGGTTATCATTGTTCTCTAAGCCTGACAATGTTCGCAAATCCTTCTCTTGTTCAAATTTGTAAAGAAGGCGAAGGGAGAGGCGGAGATCAGAGGATTCTGGCAACTCAGAGGAAGGCTTTTCGTGGAGATGGGAAAGCAGCTGCCCTTCTGCGGAGGAGAAGTGGAGCGAAGAATCAAGGGAAGAGCATTGTGGCGAACAGTAGAGAAGAGTGGGAGTGCCATCCGGGACATGGTGGGAAATTTGGGAGACCGGTGGGGTAAAAAGTTCAAATGGTTGGGGTGGCAGAGGGGAGAAACAGGCGGCGCAGTGGGTGGGGAGGGTTGAATTGTGGAGGGCGGCCGCTAGGGGCAGAAGAGGTGGCACAAGGTCTTTGCCTATTGGTATATCTTCACTTGCTTGTCTCTCCATATTCAGGCTAAGAAAGTGAGTTAAATGTTTCAATAGCCACTAAACTTTTGCACCATATCATAGCTTAATCGCCGAAATTCATCAACCATACCATTAGCCACTGAACTTTGCTTGGTCCCATTCCATCACTCACCGGATGGAATCAGTTAGTAGATCCACCTACGTGGATGAAGTAAAAATGGCGTCGCCAGTTAAATCGATCAAAATGTTAAGTGAAGTGCCAACTCACAGTCAAGTCAGCAATTACCAAACACGTCTTTCCCATAAATAAGAAATTAAAATGCACCTTCTTCCTCACAATTGATAGAAACTTCGATTCTGTGCAGTTAAATGAAATCCCCCCAAAATGGAGCCACAAACCCTAAGGCGAACCCATAGATTTTGCCCCAAAATTTCCATCTGCATCTTCACCGGCAGTGATTTCGATTGCGCCGAGTGAAAATTTCAACAACGTCCGGGCAATTTCAATTTCCACAAAGCGAAAATTTCACTTACACTCGCTCATCCAGAACCCTACAGTACAATCCCCCAACAATGTTACTCCAACGCACAACCTCAAAACCCTTCTTCACCTTCACAGCCACCAAAATCATGGCCATTCAAACTCATTTCCATCTGGGTTTCTTCAGAATTCAACTTTTCCTCTTAAACAAGCTGTTGTTTTCACTACTAAAGCTCATAAAAATCCAGTATATGGAACGGTTGCCTATGATTAGAGGCTGGGTTCAATTGGAATGCTATATACAAAAGAATATCTATGATGGAGAACCCACGTA